AAATAATAGTTAAGTAATTGTGAATATTAAAATTTGTAATTATGTCATCTAAAATATTAGGTTAAGACCTACCATGTTGAATAATATCTAAAAAGCTTTCATAAATAACTTTATTTTCTGAATCAAGAAAATTATCACAAATTTCTCGATTGCCTTTCATAACATGAGTTATTACATCATTTGATTTCATATTTCTATAAGGAACTTTTTGATATGTTAATTCCCATATAAGCATTCCAAAACTGTGGTGAAGTGTTTATAAATATGAATTAATTGAAGCTAAAATTTTGAAAAAAATAGCTAGAGCAAAAAAGAACAAAAATTACCTAAAAATTTCACCTTTTTGGCTATATGGAATTTGATTAAAATTATCCGATTCTTTCAATAGTTTACGCATTTTTTCGGGAGCCATCCAATTAATAACATCTATTGGCTGATTGATTACTATGTTTGTTTCATTATGCAGTACAGCAAAATGAAAATTTGCGAGTTTTGGCTCCATAAAACGTGACATCTATACAATATCAAATGATTATATGCTAGTTATACATGAAATTTTAACAAAATATAGATATACAATAAAAAAAACATTTGTGCATCCTACCATTATATTTTCACATCGAATATCATTGTGAAAAATGCCAACAGAGTCTAAAAACATGACCCCTTTGCAAATTTCAAACACAATCTGAGCTTTCAAATTCCAAGAAATGCGTTCTTTATTATAGACCTCTTTCAAATTTCCCATTTCGGCCCACTCGAAAATCATAACTTCTTTACCATCGACCTCAGAAAGCCCATAGAATTTTTCAATACTCTGACATTCGTCCAGTTTTTCCAGAACTAATAACTCACGGCGAAACCTTCGATCCTCCAAGTCACGTGATTTGCACGCTACTTCGATGGAATCTTTATAAACCTTTTTTATGATTTGATCTAATTTACCACGACGATCTGATTTGCGACTAAGTGACGACTCCTTTAGCAAGGTTGGATCGATTTGTCGGATCGAGTCTTTGGTTTGCTCGAGTTTGTTTTTAATGTGACATATTTCTTGATAAAGAGATGCTTTTGTATCCTATAGTTATTTAACTTTTTCATTAGAATACTACCAAATTGGCAATAATTGTGAATTTATAGAATGATAACTAATCTTCAAGATGGATTGCATTACTAAGAGGATTAATTAGTCTACTACAAGGTTTACTATAAAGAAAACTTTTAATACCTTAATCATTTTGGTAAAAGTATCCGTCAAAATATCATTATCAATTCTTCGTTGTTCATTAAAAACGATAATCATCGTAAAATTTAAATCATTCATACAAG